TGTTAGTGTCTGTTATGTGCCTATGCTGCCTTCTGTAAAGGGCAAATGCTTCATTTCTACTTCTTGAAGAGATAGCAGTTTTCTATTTTACTTCCTAATGCCAACAAAATCTCTCTCTCTTCATAGAATTTTAGTCTTGTGCAATAGCAAGAAGCACAAAATCTCCACCTGCATGCAGTTTATTGTTAACTTTTCTTCCTGCTTTAGCTGCTCTTCTAGGCTTAAAATAATCAAGAAAAAAGTAACAAGTGTACAAATAGTGCAATGAACTTCTCATCTCTTAATCTGTGACTAGACCACATACAATGTATGTGATGTTGTGGGTCTGTCAGCAGGGATGAGACCTACAGAAATTATCCTGAGAATAAACATGTACATTTCCATGAAAGTAAAGTGTAAGAGATCAGACCTGAAGAGATCATTCACACATTCAGGTGCGAAGTCACTGTACTGATGACCAAAGATTGTGATAGCAGTGCTCTCTGTTGGGCTGCACCACAGCCAATCCTCAGTGGAACCATGGTTTCCCTAGGCATTTTTCCACCACCTGTGTTTTCAGTTCCCAGAGTTGGGCTTCCTGGAAGAGCTGTTTGTGAATGTGATGCCAGTATCATCACCAAAGCAACTGGCTCCTTATTTGGCCTGTGCAGTCCTGAGCAAATATTGCAGTCTTAATATCACCAGCAGGTGCTACAGCTACCCTTTCTTAGTATCCTCTGTCCATTTAGGCGGATATTAGTGCTGGATTTGGTTCTTTGAGTACTAACTTGGCCACCTATGTTTGATGTATTCCTCTCAATTGTTTGTGAAAGGTGAATTGTTGAGTTCTGGAGGCTAACAGAGTTTGTAGCACCCAGAGGTGCATGTTTCCTTGGGGCTGTATTGGCCTTCCAAATATCATTAGGAGGCAGACTTGCTGGAATTCACTCTATCAATATGGAATGTTACCAAAGTCCTGAGTCTGTAGTCAGATATGGGCTGGTATGGCCCTCTGACAAATTCTTGTTACTCAGCACAGAGCAGAGATTCGCATGTTATCCATGTTTCACCACGCCTCACTTTAAAGCTTAAAATATGTCAATTTGTGCTTATGATGCTGGAGAAGTCTTGTTCAAAACCTACTATTGAGATAAATGCTTTTACAAGGATGGAGAGAGGCTGGTCTAGAATTTAGTTCCTCAAGTCTGTGCTAGCACTCATTGCTTTGCGGTATTAATGTCTGCAATCTACAGCCTCCATCCTGCCCCTCTTAGTTTCCCTCTATATTCCTTATAACTCATTCTGCATATTGTCCATTCTTGTTCTAAGCTGTTCTCCTCCACCCCCAGCTCACCTAAGGCTCACACAAAGTTCACATGAGCAGAGTCAGTTTATTGCAATGTTCATATTTCAGTGAGTGGGTCATATTGGGCAGGGCTGCAATAGAAAAGCAGCAGCCAGCAGCTGTTTCCCATTTATTCATATGTAACCTCTACAGCACTGTCAGCAGAATACTAAACAAGATTTTAGCATTTGCTTTTTTGGTTGGTTGATTATCAGCCAATTGCTCTTGAATTCCAAGACAAAGTGTCTGCATGTCTCATTAGCAGGGTTAGCAAATCACTGCCACAGCAAAACCTCAGCTGCTTTTAGTTGTAGAACACAGTTGTTGGTTGCAAGTATCTGCTACCTGTGACTCCTTTTGCCATGGACTCTTCTCTTCATGGACTGTAGGAAAGCTCTAGGCCATACCAGGTTGAAAAGAGATTGTCACACTTACAAAAAATGAATGCACCTTTTCCTGGTTAAAAATGAAAACTATCAACCTAAGAAGCCTTAGTTTCTGTCCCCAGTGTAAAAATTTATTGGCTGATTCACTCTTGCTGGCCTGGAGTGACATCTAGGTACCCATGCATGTGTTTCAGGTATACCCCAAGAAGATCCTAAAAGATTGCTGTGGTGAGTTGAAGTTCCTTGAAGCTTCCTCACATCAGTGAATCCACACTCAACTTTTTTACCCACTGTACATTCTAGTAAGCAGTGGCTATTCAACTGGAAGTAAGGAAAAGTGGGTGGAAAAACCACATCAGAAGGGACGGATGCAGTCCTGTAAGTCCTATAATTAGAGTCTTGCTTTCTCTCTGCACCTGGTTTTGTGTCCTCCCAGCATAACTTGGTTGAACATAGTCTCATGCTGCCAGTTGTTAGGAAAAACAAGCACACAAAAAAAAACAACAAAACAATACTTCTATCTCTGTCGTTGTGAAGGTTCTTTCCTGCAGTATATTTGCAAATACTTCAGGAAGCTACTTTTAAATAAAGCAGTTGCCATGAATTAAGAGGGCAGATAGCAAGAGTCAAATGTATTTTCTATACTCTAATTTTGGCTTGGAAAATTACTCTAATAACTTTTCCTGTTAGTTCCAGTGATGTAGCTAAAAATCCACTGTGTGAGTCAAGTCCAGCCCTAGGCAGAAGCATCTAAACACCTTGCAGTGTAACAAACTCTACTACTTTATGTGTATGTTCTCTGAAAGGGAATTCAAGTCTCTGAATCTTCCTGATCCAGCTGATCTTATTTAAATTAACTGGAAGATTTGTACTGCTATCTTTTCTAGCCATAAAATTTATCTTACCTTTCAACAATTTGAGATATTTCATTTTCAGTGGCTGTAACACTACAAGCTACCTTCATATTGTATGAAATATACTCACAGTTTGTGACGTGTGGCCTGTGATACAGGGTGTTCTGCCAGCAAATATTTCTTCCAAGCAGGACAACATTTTTTAAAGAAACAAAAACAACAGTTTTCTTTACTGCTCTCTGTCACAGAAAAACGGAGTCTCAGATGTGTTTGTAAGATAAGGCCCACAAATGAATAGTTCAATTCAAAGGAAACCCATGTTAATAAAATTTGGAACATGTGTCTCTATATTCAGCAGTCAGGACTGTCACTTTTGGAGACAAATCCTATTTTTTTCTGGTAGTGGGACACTGAGTTTCTCAGCTCTGCTAACATGTAATGATTCTCTTTGTTGCCCTGCTTGTAACCGTCAGGGCACATCAGATTCACTGCCATTTGAGGTAAGACTTGTTTTATGCATCTGACAAGAAACGTTCAAATGTCTGAGGTGCTTCAGGTAATTCATCTGAGAAAGAGGGTGAGTTTCCTGCACAGGAAACATGTTAATGTGCCTCAAAGAACTACAAAGAGGGAGGCAAATGAAGGGTGCATGGGAGTAGAGAAATTCCAGTGCCATTTTGTTCAAGCAGCAAGAGAAGCATTTCAGTTGTTCCAGTCTGATCTTGTTTAGGTCTCAGTACACTGAAATACCTCCCAACACTCCTGATAGCCTGAGCATGATTTTCATTTTCTCCATTGAAACCTCTTTGTCCCTGTTTCAATCTTGAAGGCGACCAGTCTGTTAGGGAGGATGAAGCGGTTAAAGCAGTAAGCCTATTGAAAATACTTGGTAGTAAAGATAGAAACCCATTGAAATGCCCTTCTGTTTGTCTATGTCTAAAGTCATAGCCTTTAATTTAGCAGCTATTTGGTTTACTTTACTCCTAACTTGCACCCAAAGTTGCTTTAGTAGCATGAAGTGGTGTGAAGCAAAGCCAAGGACTTTTCAGAAGGAAAGGTTTTCTAAAATGGTGAAACATGGAAATAAGCTGTGCTTAGATCTAAGCAGTATGCCAATTATTGCTGTCTTAAAGATAAAGATATGTACCCAGCACACAAAATACGAGGCTGAAAAGCTCTGAGTATGGGTGAAATAACATGACTGTCTCAAAAAATACTGCAGATCTGGTCAGTGGATATCAAAGGTCTGACAGTTTGTGATCCATTTCCCTTCAGTGACAGAAAGGAGCTGGGATGTAACTGTAATATTCTAAGAAAATGGGTATCCACAACAACAATGGATATCCATTGTTTCCATCTATTATCTACTTAGCACCGTTGCTTCCCCCAGAAAACAATGGGATGCTGCCAATTTTCATGCAGCTATGGTTAAAAGATCTGAATGCATTTTTTTATTCCTCTGCTTTTGTATTCTGCACTGCTATTAGGCTGGCACAGTCCAGTTTGCCTACAACAGTCTTCTGTGGCCTTTGTCTTCCCTTGATGGTTTAAACTGGAAGTTTGGATGTCTTCTATCTTATCTTGCAAATATCTATAATAGCATAATTTTTTTCCTAGAAATTGTTCCTACTTGCTGCTAAATCAAATATCTGCACTGTTTCTGGTTATAGCTTTGAGCTGTTGTCCTAGATTTCTCTCCTAGTTCTATCCTAAGATGAGTCTTAGTTTTCTGTGCCTCAGTTTGCTACCTGTGCAACTGACTTAATTCTTTGCTCTCCCACCTTTCTGATTGATGGGTTTTTAATATGTGTGATTATGGCCACCTGTCTTTTTTTCCACGGACAAATGTGGTCTTCCATGCTCTTTTTCTTTTCTCTTGAATACTTTGGCTTACATATTTATTTCTGCATATTGCATCATGGAAAAGCTGGTGCTTGGCAACACAAATGATCACAACACATGACCAGTCCTTAATGAACTTCACTGGACATCTCCAGGTAAGGGGTGTAGCTGCCAAACTGACATTTCCTTCAGGAAATGTTCTGTACCTCCTCTGATTACTCCCTCCCCTTCATTTGGAAAATCTGTGATTATTAAATCACTCCAAAGGAAAGGGATCTGTTGCTGTAATTCATTTAATAATTTAGCATAAGCCCCAGATTTCTCTTTGCACAAATGAAATTTGCCCTGTTCACAAAAGATCAGCTCCCAGGCTTCTTGCTTACTCACACAACCCTTTCTTAATTAGGTGGCAGAAACTATCAAAGCATGGTCCTCTTTGCACCACAGATGACCTTAAGGAAACAAAAAGGCTCTTCATTGGAGAGGTCCTGTAACCCTGCCATAAAGAAGAGACTGAGATTCATTTCTGGAAGAAGATATGAATGTATAATTGCTGTGTGGCCACTAACTACAGGCACTGTCTCCTGTTCTCAGGCAGCAGAGAGAGAAGATGGGCTCAGCTGTGACACTGTGGGACCCCTTAACCTGACTTCTTTTTTCCCATCACACAGCTATACTTCTCTTTGCTTTGGTAGGTTTTTTAAATAACTGGGTGAAGTCTGAATTAATGTCATCTTGGACATAAAGAGCAGTGAAGTTTGGTTTGCAAAGCATAACATTTTCCTTTGTAGCTTGAAAAGTTCCTGTGTAAGTGCAAGCAGATTCTTTTTCCCACTGCATAATCCAGTTAGTCTAGTGGGATGTAGCATGTGCAAGTAGGGTGCCACTTGAAAAGAGAGCCACAGACATGATGATTCCTATTGTTTATGTCTTTAGACTAACCTTGGGTATTTTTCCATTAAAAATCATAGTGGTGTAATGGCTGTTAGCTCCAAATCCCCACTGAAACGTTATAAAAGGATCCAACTAGGCACCTGAGTATTTAATCATTCCTTTTGCTTTTCAGAAACCATTAATCTATTGAAGAGAAATTCTACACAGCCAGGATTTCAGGTCTATGTTAACCGGAAGACCTTGTGCCATCTTTTGTACCTGGGCTGGGCACTGCAACAGCACCTGATGCTCATCAGTACTATGACAGCTATGCCAGCTGGTGGGCTGAGAGCAGGAGCGGGCAAGGAAGACTGTATACAAAAGCTCAATGAAAAAAACTGCTACATCCTTTGGTTTATGGCAGTGAACAATTTTTTATCAACCTGTCCCTTTTCCCCCTGTGGATAACCTGAGAAATCTCTGCTAAATTACCTCTATGACCTATACAATGAACTACAACTCTCTAGAGATTCCCCTCCTTCATCTGTAAGTGTTATAGGTAGTACTGCTTCCCTTTAGTTAACATTGCCTGCGAAGCATCTTGTTCCCAGAGACCCATTGCCTCTGAATTCAAAGTACATTTGGATTCACAATGGAAACATTGAGTCTTATTGAAGGTTTCCTTTAGCTGTATCCAGAAGCTTCCAATTCCTCAACGACACAAGGAGATTCCATCTGAATAAGAGGACTCCTTTTTCCTTGCTCAACCCTATGTTTAGGAGTTCCTGAAGTGCAGAAGGTAGAACCGCATTTCTATTTTCATTTGTGTGTGTAATCCCTGCAGTGATAAAGGATTTATCACATTTAAACTCTCAGCAGTAACAATTTCATTAACTTTGAGATTTCTGTCACTGAAAAAGAATGGATTGACATGCTAGAAGCCAAAAATATCAACCACGTGTTCAGTGCATATCCCATTATGTTTTATTTTGTGTCAGTACTCTTTGTAAACATTAATAGGCAATAATCAATGGGAGTATCCAGTGGCAACCACTTTATATAGTGGATTCCAGTTGGAAGTTTTGAATAACCTAAGAAATTCATTGTTTCTGGGTACTGTCAGGGATCTGAAGGCTCCAAAACATTTTGTAAGTTACCTGAGAGTAAACATTATACAAGAAGCATTTTTAAATAGAGTATAAAGATGACCCAAACTTCACAGCATGGGGCAAACACTATCAGGGGTTGGCAAAAAAATAGGGGTACCTTTGTGCCCAAGTGTTTCTTCTCACATTTTACAGTGGCTTCAGAACTATCTGTCTTGTTGTGTATGGGATACAGACCTGAGGATCTCTAACCTGACCTATTTCTATTTTCTAGTTTATAGCCAGCTAAATCAGTGTTATTTGTTGATCTCCTGATTGTCTAGTGATAAAACATTTCCTCCTTAAAATCAGCCCATTTTAGTAGCACATCTTAATTTGGTGGAAAAGGGCAAACATCTTTGTCATGTTTCCACCAAAAGACAGCTCGCCCATCCCTTACAAAGAAAGACTTGTTCTCCTGTTTCCAGAGAAAGAGATCACAGCTCTATGGCACAGCAATATCTGCAGCCCTCTGCAGGCATGACTCTCACATGTAGTTTTCTGAACAGTAATTTTTAAGGAGCCTGAGGGGAAAAAAGGGAAAAATAGAAGCGATGCTAAAGGCCTTAACTTTCCAGAAAGATAGAGCTTGATTTATTTTCTTATGCCAACAGAAGACAAACATAGTTACCTTGACTCCTATATTTATTAGACTTTGACTACCATTCCTTACAGCTCAAAGAGTGCAGATCTTAAGAACCCACAATGGTAGGAAAGAAAAACAGCATTCCTATATAGAAAAATGCTGTAACAATGTTCAAGTGTCCCAATTTTTCTACTGTAACTTGATACTGGTAAACACAAGGGGGGGAAAAAAAAAAAAAACAACCAAATTCCTTCACCCAATTTCCTTTAAGAACTGTGAGCAGCCCCACCTGGTTTTTGCTTTTAACCAACTCTTGTCAATAGATCTGTTGAAATGGTATGTAAGCATTTACTTGGGATGTGTTGCTTGGTATATTCTGGAGGTTATTTTCTGTACTATTCAGCTGTCAAGAATTGGGAATTTGGATCATATTTTAGTATATGGTAAATTACTACATCTGTGTGTGAAAAAGGTCTAGTTTCTCATGACTGCTCTTCGTATTACAACATCACAATGAGGTAACAAAATGGTGAAGTGTGATGGCTTGAGCCACTTGAGCTAAAGACTCAAACAGAGTCTAAACGAGGTCTGTGTAAGTATCACAGAGCCTGGACTTTTTTATTTAGAAAGATAAGCTCCATCTGTCAGTAAACTGTGTTGTGATGGTTCTCCTCTGTAGAGATAGGGGTTCGACTAGGGGAACTTACATTTCCCAACACAGCATAATGGGTTGGCTCTTCACTACTTTATTTTACTTTATTTTATTTATCTCATAATTTTATTTCTAATAATTCTTCATTGCTAGGATCATCTCTTTCCCTAACCTTACGCTAGCAAATAAATCTTTTAAGAGCAATTCTTTTTTTTTTTTTCTTGCATGTAAGTCCCTCCCCTTGCTTTAGCCTTCTGTCTATGCTATACTTGTTCTCGTTGCTCTAACTCACCCCTGCTCTCCACCTCTTCCACAGCATCACAGCTATGTTGGCAGTGGGCCATCTAGCACTCCAGATGGCTGGCACTTGCTGCTTCTGCCACAGGCTGAGGTAATGAGCTGGTTATTTCAGAAAAAAATCCAATGCTATTTACTTCAGGGAATGGTGACACCAGAATAAGTTATTACATGCCTCGTTTCCAAAGGATGTGTTCCCTGCTAGTTAAGATCTCTTTCAGTAAGGTTCCTCTAAATCTGCTCCATAACTTCCTGACTGCGGTATGGAACAGGCTGTTTTCTAATGATGGTATAGTAGCACCTCTCCTCTACTTAAGGACTGCTTACCCTTAGTATAATCCACATCATAGGTATTTTTTCCAGCTAGTGTGAAGAACATAAGGGAACAAAAGCTCTCTTCCTAGACTGTAATGCAGCCTATCCCAGTATGCAAGTAAATTAATGGTACTTGCTGAGGATGGTGTAGCATTTACTCATATTGTATTCTATGTTTCAGTGCTCCAAAAAATCCTGCCTCCTTAGATTCAAGGCATTAGGTTTTGTATCCTGCAGACTTTCCTCATGAATCCTATTGTGCAGTCTCTGCATGCCTTATAACCAGCAGAGACTTCATGATAATTCAATTCATGAGCCAAACCAATGAATATATTGCTTCTGCTGTGAAGCTGGTTTAGGCCAAGTAAAATGTATATATATTTTTTTCCTAGAAGCTAGTTGTGATCCGTGGGAAAATGAGTAACAGCATGTGGAATAGTCACTGCATGGTAGAAGTTGTGTATGTGGTGGGGGCAGCAATAATTAATAGTTGTCTCTTCTGGGATGTTGATACTCTGCTGGACTGTGGCTGAGCTGGAGAGCTTTGGTAGAGAATAGTGAAGTTGAAACTGATGGGCAATTGGTTCCTGTTAACAAATATTCTTTGTCCTGGGTTTTGTTGAGTTCATTTCCCTGTAGTATGAACACACCAGCAACAGTGAGTTATCATCCATCCCAGTCACAGCATGAGCTCACCCCCGTGACCTACCACAACCTACTGCTCTGTACCAAGCGACACCTCTGACATCCACAGCCTGCTAAATCCTGCAGTGGACTGAAGAGGTAGTTAGAGCAGCTGATATGAATATTAAAAAGCTGTCTTCTGAAATCTAATTGCATCTCCTTGAAATTGATAGCTATTTGGCCAATGTAGATTAAATAACTTACTGCTAATCTCTATTTTGGAAGAGAAGATAGAAAGCAGCCCTCCAATGAAATAACTCCATATTCTAATTTAAAACAATAGTTCAGTGAATGTCTTCTCCCCTGATAATTAGCAGGATGTTGCTGTAATCTCTTCCCTCACTATAACTCAAATCCCCCCCTTAATGACTCTACAGTGGTCACTTCTTCAGTAGTCTTTCCCTGCTGTGTTCTGCTTGGTACTGATCATTCTGTATGTGAGAAAACTGATGTTTCTTGATTCCTCAGCTCTTCTCAAGAAAACTCAAATTCCTGAAGCATGGGTTTGTTGAAGAGCTAAGACTGAGCAGTTTTCAGCTTCGCATCTAAACTCTCCCTTTGTATATGCAGAAGCACAGGCTCTAGGAAAGATTAGGCTCCTCTCTGAAGAGAACAGATTCTCTGCGTCCATTCAGGTTGTGTAGTTCAGGCTGGTAAGGCCTGGTCAGCAAGCAGCATCCTTCTCCTGGCTCTTAGTACAGAGCTCACCTGAGGATGAAAAGTGTGCATATTGTGGGTTGTGGCTTGTCTGAATGTGAGTTCTGGCTCTATTCCTCTGGATTCTGTTGGGTGCCTGGAAACCCTCGTTCTGTGTTTTGATGGTGTGAAACAAAGCACTGCTCCTGCTGAGGAAGCTCTTACTCGAACTCTGTGAGGACTGCCAAACCTGCTGCCCTCCAGCCTTTAAAAATTTAGGGAGACTCCAAATGTTTACAGCCTTCCAAATGTTAACTGCACATAAAACTTAAACCCTCTCATTCCATGAATTGTTGGTGGGAGAGAAATATTTGAACAGTAATTTACAGAGCAAATTAGAAGTTATCATAGAGCTGGACAGAAGGAAATCTCAAGCATGGGGACTGTATGGGAACTGCTGAGTCACGGCCTGAACCTCTGATTGATCACCTGAGGTGAGCCTTGAGTCAGCCAGAGGAGCACAGGTGAAGGCAATTCAGCTGTGCTGCCAGAAGCCTGGCTGCACCCCTCCTAGACCTATTGAAGAGCTGGCTACCAGTGGGGAAGGATCTCTTCTGGAGATCTGCTCTGCTGGTGTTTTGTGGGTGAGCCCAGGATAAGGGTAAGCCTTCTATTTATTCTCTTTTGTTATCTTAGTCTGCTTTGCCTAACTCTCTTGTTTATTTTGTGATTATAACATCCTAATATTCTTTGATTATACAGGGACATTTAAAAATGTGATCTAGGCATGAGGGTTTATATTCTGTTTGAATTGGCAGTGTATAATTTAAACCTATACTTCAGACAGTGTTGCTTAAAAGAAACTGGTCCTTTGCAGGGGTTCTGGAAGTATGAAAGAAAACTGAGACTCTTAAATCTCAGCAATGTATGACCATGTGCATGTTGTGTGAGCTTCCCATGTTTTAGCATTGAGAAGCCAATAAGAATTTCACAGAACGAGTTAAACTATGAAAATGGGTTAAGTAATGCCACAGGGATGTTACTAATACAGCGTGGCTGCAGTAGGGTTTAAAACAGCTGGATGTCTCTTGTACCCTTCCTTCGAAGTTTTAATTGCAAGGACGAAGCTTCTCTGACCCTCTGGCTGCCACCCACACTACCGGTCTGCACGGCTCAACAGCCACTACAAACTCCTGAGCGGGTTGCCATCTGCTGGCATTGCCTTTAACTGCTTCCTCTTGGGGCAGCGAAGGGAAGGGCGTTTACAAAATACGGGGAAGCAAGTCTGACGTGTAAATGCCTGATAATGTTTTCTTTAGGTGTTTTCTAAATCCTTTAACCAATTGTCTGTGTTGGTTTAGCAGGCCTCGCATTAAGGGGAAGAAAGCTGTTGTATGAGGAGCCTTTTCCTGGTGTCTGTTGTAATTTGAAATGATTTCTTATCACCCAATGGGCTACATGAAACAGAACAGTAATTAGCTTCTGCAAAGCCTGCCTTTGGTCTGATGTGAATCAAACAAGTCACATTGCAGATTGTTTCAATGCCGTGCGAAGCTGTGACTCCATCTCTGGGATTTGTTTCCCCCTGTATACAGCTCAAATCCCAAGTTTGAGCAAGGATCGTTCTGCTTTTCAAGATCCTGTAAAGTGCAAAATCAAACAAACAAAAACAAGAGCAAATCTGTTCTTTTTTCAGTTTGGGGATGCTATATCACTGAATCCTACTGTGCGAATGGAGAAAGATTTGTGTAAATCTGGCTGTGTCATTTTCAAGAAGCTGCAGTCCAGCCCTGACTAACCATTCAAGATGTCTGAGATGTTGTTAGCTTCTTGCAAGTATATCAATGTGTGCTGAAACTTGTAGGAAGAAAAACCAGGTTATGGGAATTGATTTCCTAAGAGGAAGTTTAAACAAATCTATCAGCTATCCGTTCCTTTGAATTAAATCACTATCATTAAATACTAACTATATTGTTCAGCTTTACCTGAAATTCTGATCAGAAGTGATCCCTTGTAGTAGGAAGTAGCATCATGCTGTACAGACGCTGCCTGTTGTGATGATGAATAATCATTACATGGCTCTCGGTAGCTGGGTAACAATCAGGCTATGCTACTGCCCACCAAGTTGCAGGGGAAGTGAGCATGTTCCAGAGCTGGCAGTGTCCTTGCAAGTCATCAAGGCAAAAAGCCTGTCTGCTTGCTCCTTTCCACAAAGCAGGAAAGAAGGTGGGAAGTGCAAAGTGTAGGAGAGATCATCTGTTTCTTTTGCCATAGCAATTCATCAGATGGACTAACTGTTGTGCCTGCAAATCCTTCTTAGCATCTCACGGCACACACTACAGCACTGCTAGTGAAGCACGGTGCTGCTTACGGGCGCGCGATGTCCTCCCTTTCTAGGGAGCAAATAATATGCTTGAGAGCTGCACTTCCTCCAAACTGATGAGTCCTCGAACGAGGATCGCTTCGCACTCCGATACTCAATTTCACCACATGGTGGCATCGTTGCTGTCTTACTGATGCCGACAGCCCGAGGATCAGCCCAAAGACCTGTGAGGTTTGCACCGATGTTTTCACGGGCGTCCCGACGATGATTGCTGCGGATGCTTGAGGAGTACGACGCGGTTCCGTG